CCTTTTTTTAGTAAAAACTCGTCGTTTTTGGCTTGTAGGCATTAAGTTCATGTTTGAATTTGATGATAATTTGATGAACTGTTGTTGAGATTTTGCCTTGATTTATATATATTTTTAAGATAATTTGAAAATTCATTATTAAGCCTTTGTTATTATTTCTGACAGATGGACGTATGTTACCTGTCTGGCAAGCTATCTTCTGTAAACGTTAACTACCGTGGTATCAATATGATGTCCTCTTTTGTAAACTTTAAAAAAAAAACCACCAAATTAATGGACAGTTTTTACCAAATAATGGACAGTTACTACTTAAAGCACTCCAACATTCTACTGTATAAATCGAGCGAATGGCGGTTCAATTCTCGATCGAGGTGAATAAGTCATCTTCACTCATAATTCCAGTCGACCCAGCTGTAAATGGGTACGGATATTCCGGGAAGATCAATACCAAGAGGTTTGGCCAAGGACCAGCTGGTAGAAAGGATCCTTAACTTACCGTGAACCCAAGTTGTTATCCTTCTTAAATATAGTTGTTTCTTTCTTTCTAAGCATCTAAATAAGCTGAATGTAACCTTTTTATATCAGTATAGTGTTGTTCTTCGTAGAACTTACCAGGACACTATGTAGCCCACGTCAAAGTAACCGGTGTCGCCCAGTGTTGGGTCCAAGAGAGATGACATCACTATACATTAGTTACGCGCCACGGGGATAAGAAAATATCACACAGTTCTTCATATTTAAAGTATATTGTCACAAAATATAAAAGCATTTAACATAAAAGAAATGCAATACGATACATTACAATACAGTACGGTGTGATACACTGCGGTACTCTGCGGTAAAAAAATGTATGGCTCTGGCTCCCTATAGACCACAAATTTTCAACCATCTTTCACATGTGCTTATAATCCCATCATGCCCAATGTTACCAAGCAACGGCGACCTATAATATCAAGTCACAATACATTAACTATGGCTCAGGACGGGATTCTATACTAAGTACTAATAGCGGCATGAGCTATTTGTCACGCGGGTCGACGATATTTGACACATTGGCATTTTGAACATAACAAGAAGGTTGTCGCATTTTTGAAAAAAGTAAATTCTTATTTTAAATTTTGGATATCATCCCAGTTTGTTATCGAAATGTCAATTCTTTTTTTTTTTTTTTTTTTTTTTTTTTTTTTCGATTTTTCCACACCTTCTCAAGCAAAAGCTGCAACAGCTGCATCAATATTATTACATGTGTAGACCTTCTGTAGTGGCAACGTCGTAAATGAGTGTATTTTGGAACATTTTTGCAAAAACGGAAGTGCCACAGGTCCACATGTGCAAAAAGTCGAAAATCGGCTCTAGAAGGCGCATTTTTGCATCGATTTTCTTCGGATTTTCATTTTTACAATCTATCTGTTATTTCTGAACTGAAAGCCCTTGAAAAATTACGAAATTCGAAAATTCGTAGCTCACTTTTTTCGATCAAATTTTTCAACTTTTTTGTTTTTGCATCGATTGATCTGAAATTTAATATGCAAAGGGGTATCACTAAAGTAAATAATATGTAGTTGTCAAATATCTAAATTCATTTCCGGTTTTAGACGGGGAATCAATTGAAAGTACAATCCACTTCCGGTCGAATAACTTCCGGTGTAATTGAAATAGGTCAACGAAA